GCTGTGTGCATGTGTGGCCTGAATTTATCGCGACTCATTTTCCTCACAAAAACCTGTGAAAACAACGCTCCATTTGATTATCCACCGTTTCCAAAACTCTCCAACTCAAATGGAATTAAATGGGGAAAGGTAAATAACCATTTTTGGTGAAAAATACATCGGCTAAACAATGGAATAATGCAATTAAAAAATGTGCGTAGTACTTGTCATGTGACAACCATACCAGGAGCATGAAAGTGCATGCCTAATGGTTGTAAAAACTGAACTGAACTGTAATGTGCCAAGATCGTAGTGCTAAGGTCCAGAAAGTCCCTCAGTTAAGACGCATTTTTAAAAATATTATTACATTTTCAAACACCTTTGATCTGTGCACTCATAATCCTGTTGAAGTTACTTGGGTTTTGCAGGTGAGGCGAGTCCATACAATCGGAATCCACCGCTATCCACGAATTAAGGTCGAATCTCCTCTGTGAAGTATTCATTTAGATGATGCGCTAAGTGCATTTCACACTCTTCACCGACATTACCTTGGATAAAATTAATCTTGATAATTCGAACTCTAAATTTGTATGTGAGCCCAATGTAGTAATTGGACATTCCAAAAACATACCGTACTTCACGATCCCACACCTACACTTACGCGAGATATCCCAGAAAAATGGGGTACTCCAAGATCAGTTCGTTTACTTTATAAAGACTGTTCAATGCACCCTAAGCCTCAAGTCCAAACGTTACTCTTATTGTGAGGTTTAATGAAATGAACTCATTCCTTAGCGGGAAACAGCCGAAGTAAGATAAAGTAATCCATCTTACTTGTTTCCCAGAATCTTCGCGTTTGCTCTTATGCAACACTACATGCTAATTTTTCTTTGTGTTCTGCTTGCTTCTGTTGTCGGAGTTCCGCACTTGCCCCACATCTAATTTTCATCCCAAATAATTTTAAAGCAGCTGATTCAATGTTTTGTGGGTGGATTAGATGTTACTAACCGCAACCAACGTGACCTAATTGTCTTTATAGAATATTTCACAAAATTTCCCGGGAAGCACACAACCGGTTTCGCGGTTCTTGCCGCTCGTCAGGCATGCGTATCCGGTAATCTTTTGTCCGTTCATTCATATGCTTGTACCCAGGAAATGTATTTTCGTTACAATAACCTTTTTTGCAACACCGATTTATAATCTCTCAATTGGTAGCGTTCTGAGTTTTCAAACAAAAGTGCTTTCATTCATCCACATTCACACAGACGCAAGCTATTTCTTAACTTTATGACGCTTTTCACGCCTGACTACTACCACCATCTTCCATTGCAGTGTTTGAAGAGATATTCTTCTCCAAGCGTCCAACAAGCACTCAGGTAACGGAAGAAGAGGACTCGGATAACGAGGTTGCCGGTTCTACAAGTACTGCGACCATTGAGGCCGCAGAAGGTTTGCAGCGTCAGCGTTTGTCGCGCTATTCACGCAGTCTACGACGTTTCTCACGCCATGACCTTGTTTCTGGATCAACATCCCCGATTGGTCGTTTCAATGAACCCGCCCCGGCTGATAGTACCACGGATTTATGCTCTTCTAATCGAAAGCGATTGGCTGGCAACCGTTCCAGTTTTCACTCCTCCCGACGATTGTCTTATCAAGTCCAGTCTAACCCCGCATCACCTCAGCGCACCTCCGTCAGTCCACTTCCTTTCACTTTACGTAAGTGACTGAGTCGAGCATCGGGTTCCCCAGTCGTGTTACTCTCGAAATTCTCGTTCACAGTTTCAATCTAGGTCACTGATATGAAGTATGACAAAAAAGTTTCCGTGATCCCTTCAAATAAGTTTATTCTATTGCTTTCAGTGTTAAATGACACACATCAGACTGGTCGATCTCACTCTCTCTCTCTCTCTCTCTCTATATATATATATATATATATATATATACTGAGATTTAAGTCAGGTTAGGTGGGTGCTTCATTGCGCTGAGTGATAAACCTTCAGCACAAAACCCAAGCAGCCGCGAACCGAGAATAACTAAAATAAACACAAAAGCACTTACATCCGCGGGGTCTAGAGTTCATTGTTATTATGTTCATATTGTTAGAGAAACGCTGCAAGGTTAGGTAAAGCGGACGATTTGTGTACGAAAGTACGGGCAAATAGGTGCTTGTATTTGGAACGAGTAGCTCCTTAACTCCGTGCGCAAACCGTGTGCGCGGTCGGTTAAAACTTTTAGAGAGAATGTTATGCTCACACGGGAATGGATTGGCTTTTTCAATAAGCTGACTATGCGGTAAACCACTGCATACAGACTGAAAGTTAAAAGATCTACGAATTAGTTGGAAGTAACTTCGGGGAATGTGGCATAAAATGCAAGCATTTACGAACCGCTTGACCACATAGGTACAGAATACGATTTGAGGCGTAGGACATAGAAAGAAAGAATTCTTAAAAAAGTGAAAACAGAAACACCATGCTCACATCATGTACGATCTCGTTTGCAGAGTTCATCGAGATATCCGACGAATGTTTGGCGGGTCCAAAGTTCATAACACACAGAGTTATTAGAACCCGGATCGGTAATGGTATTTTATCGGATACCTGTCTGGATGGAAAAAACTACATCCGCGCATTTAGAGAGCTTCGTAGACACTTTGAAATTATCGGATCAATAAGTAATTCTTGCGATATTTCCCTGTAATTTGCAGGAGTCGTCAGAGCAGGCTAGTCGGTAGATGGTTTATTGGTGTATTTTGTTACCCAGGGCTCTTGAAAACGGGTAATTCAGATCAATACAGAAAATAGAATAAAACATTGTTGAACACTAATGGAGGAGCTTAGCGGAGCAGAGAACTTACTACGAAAACGGGTGAATTGCTGGTGGTTTCTGAAATAGTCTAGTAGAAGGTGGGTGATGGGAAAATAGAAGCTAGTCTCTTCTATTACTGTCAAAGGCATTGTTGTGATTGAAGAAACAAATTATAAGCTTTACAGTTCCTTTCTAGTACAAATATAGAGTATAATGCAAAATTAAAGCCCAGTTATTGAATATGAGCCGGAGAACGTTGACACGCAAACTGATTGGGATCAGAGGAGAAGAAACTTTCGAAAACTTCTGGGACAGATGAATTACAAATTGTACCGTTCAGGTTGGCTAACCGAAGTCTCCGGTTATAAACTTCCCAAAAATATTCGCCTGCCTTGGCCTGAGCAACCTGACGGTATTTCGCCAATATACAGATCATAGAACTTTCTCTTTTATGATAAAGAATACTGGGATTTGTTTGGTACACATTATTGATTCAAACGTGTATGAAATACATACTTTCTCCCCAGAACTCACAAGATCACCATATTCGGTTTGCATTATGCAAGCCAAAAAAGTAAGCATCGATTATAATGCTGATAATCTGCGAGAATCGGTTTTATTAGAGTCTAATAAACTTACATATACGTAGAAGTCTGCTTCTTTTGCGTCATCATCGTTAACCCTAAACATCGGCTCAATAAATTCGGCTTCTGTTATCTTCTATTAACGTGCCTTATAGACCGGACTTGCGAAAAGATGCAAACATGATCCCTCTTTGATGTTTTGAATCAGTGCGAACAACTGCGCTTAGGTCCGCTTGTGAACAGACCTTTACGAAAAATAATACCTGTGTTTTTCAGACTCGGATGATGAGACAGCTGCGCCTAACGTGCGTGTTCATGACAATCACAATCCGGCAGCCCCTAAGAAGCCACCATCTGGTCGGGTAAGTGGATCCTTGGGTATTTTTGTTCGAAGAATTTTCAGTCAATCTACCCTATTTCTGAAACGTAATTTTCAACATAGCTTTGGGTCAGTTTATTTAAAAAGTCGCGTTCACCAACTGGAACGCAGATTATGACTACTAAAGGATCGTGTTATAAACCCATATTTATATTCATCAGCATTGTCAAGATAGATTCAATAGAATTGTTCTTTTCATCCGCCCCCCTCCCCCAATTATCGACCTCGACCAAATTCTTTTTTATCCTGCCCGACATATACTCACCTGTCTAGTTGGGAGACGTGGGATACACCGAAAACAAGACAGTCTATTTGTTCTACAGTTGCATTTTTTGAGCGACTAAGGTTTTTGATATTCACGGTTATCTGCTGTCCACCTATGAGAACAGGCGACCGAAGACCTGGAACTTGAAGTAAGGGAGAGGGGGCTAGATGTATTGACACTGATGATAAATCTCCACCACCGGTTTGGTTATCTTTCCGGGAACTTACCAAACATAACGCACCATGAATTCATTTTACAATAATCGTGTAGTACATACAATATAAGTATTATGTGAATGACTCGAGGGAATTTCTCTGGAAGCGCACGACCAGTTTCACCATTCTCGACGCTAATCAGGTACGCGTGTCCCATTACCCTTTATCAGTTCATTCGTATACCTGTACGCAAGAAGCATATTTTCATCACGAATATGTTATTTACCCCACCGGGTAAATTTGTTTGGACAGCCCTTTGCGAACCAGTCCATATATCAATCATTTCTATGATTTGATACTTCTAGAAGGGTTAGGACTAATAACTGCAACAAACAGAACTTGAGCGTCTTTATAGAATATTTTTACAATAGGTAGTATGTGACTGATTTTGAAAGAACTGTCTAAACAAATTACCCAGTGTTGCAAATGAGGTATTTGTGACGAAAAATATATATATTGTGTGTTGGGCGGTGGTGGCCCGGTGGTAACATCACCACATTATCACCCCGAGGATGTGTTCAAATGACACCGCCTAACTTTCCACCTGATTGGCCGCTTATCCCTTCCTGGAAAGTGTATCTGTGTATTTTCAATAAAAGGAAGCAGATTGAAAAAGAAAGAAAGAATATATGTGCGTGTGGTCACACGACTCCATGTGGTTCATGGTAGAACATAGCAGAAAAGACCTGTATTCTGCTCGCTGTGTTTGGGAAATCTCAGTCCTCACGAGCCACTCCTACGGTTTGCATTATTTTTGATGTTTTCTGTATATGTGGTTTCATTGCAGTTGTGAGGTCTCAATTTGTGGTATTCCCTCGTTTTTGATCTTGGAATTTCTCTTCTTACTTTTGGTTTGGTTTCAGTTACCTCGACGATCTCGACCCAGTGTCCCCAACCAGAGTTCCGCACCTCTTCGATTTCAACCCCATGATTGTTGTTGTGATGAGAAATTTTTGAATGAACTAAACAGTTTCGCCCCCAAAACAGAACCTAAACAAAATTCAGATTCACAGACTAATCTTACCGAACAGGTGAAGAAAACCGAAACAGATTCCATCCGATCCCAAGAAATTCCCATGACCACATCTCCAAACGAGCACCGTCCACATACCTGGTCGATCTCCTCGTCTAGTGCTTCCCTAAGTACGGACGAATATGGTTTATCCAAAGATGGCTACCCTGCACATACAGACACAGAACAATTGCCCGATAGCACTTCACCAAATGCACCCATGGTTGTGTCTGGATCGGTCAGTCAAGGCCCTACTCCGGTGCATCAGTCCAAACACTGTTTCGTGGATGTCGATTGTGAGACAACTTGGAGTTGTGGTCCTCATGGATATCGTGTTCTCTCATTAGACGGAGGCGGAGTTCGTGGGCTTGTTTTGGTTCAAATGTTACGAGCCTTGGAGAAAGCTTCTGGTCGACGCATCACCGAGTTGTTCGATTGGATGGTCGGTAAGTGTTGTTTAAGTGCCTACTGTATTCATCTAGTGTGTTGTGTTTTCATATGTGTGCACAAGTATTCTTCGGAAGAAATCCAATAGATTTGTTCTAGCGTCCCATCTATGTTGGCATTGCAATGAGGAGGTTTACCCTCACATGATGGTTTACAAGCAACCCCTAATTGAAACCGTATGTGTGACAACATGACAAAGCTTTGTGAGAACCCAGCTTGTTGTCCTATTTCTTATACGATCTTTTATATTGTGTTCAGGCACCATAGTGGTGTTTTTCATCAGACGTGAGATAACGGTACGTCTACCGCACGGTGCTTTATTCGCTGTAACCGCTCCTGGAATGAGGAAACCCTGTGGAGATCAACAGATGACGTGAAGACAACACATGAATAGATGCATAGAGCTATTGATTCGAGTAGGTCTCTCAAGCCCCCAGGTTTGTGTCCGAAAGACTGCTACTGGTGTGTTGAACACATTGAAAAATGTGGCAGCGAACCGACAGCAACGGCGTTCTTGTTGTCATTTCTTATCAGACCAGAGTGCTTGAACGGGATATGTATGTACCGTTAAATTGTGTTCTCTGTGTCCTCTGTGTTGGTGAGTTGACTTCAGTTGAATTAGAAATCCGAAAGAATGATGGATCTAAACAAATGAGCCTCCACTTTGCCGTACCTGTTTGGCTCTAGTTAGAAATGGAGCATACACACTGAAGACAATTCCATACTGCATCTGTCGTCTTGTACTACAAGCAGTATGGCGCTATCCACCGCATCGAACGGGGTAGGTGCTGATTAGTAGGCTACCGCTCAGATACCTCAATGTTTGTTCTATTGTTTGTCTACTATCTTTGACCATCCTTTTAACCCTAACGTTGCTCTGACGATTTGAATTTGTGTCCTGTCCACGTTCCGCTTGTCTCATTGGGTGCACGAGGCTAAGCGCTGATCACGAAAAGCGGACCGACAATCAACGCACCAACGAACAACAAACCTAACCGAAATTCAAAGGCCTTGCGTGACAGGTCTCCAGAAGCTCCCAAATGGGTGCTTCGTTTACGCTCCCGCGTTGGATTTACGCCCCACTGCCTTGCGGGTCAGACTCTTGAGTCAAAGGTTCCCGTTAGGGTTCCCAATAAAAATCCCCTTCGTCGGTGTGGGCTACCGCGAAGTGTGTCGTGCCCTAAAGTCTTAGGCACCCATTTGGGCAACCATCTTTCCCATCTGTCTAGTTCTTCTTCTCAACCCCAAATAATCCCAGGTGCCTCCTGTTTACGCCACCCATCGAATATCACTCAGCGTTTAACCATCAAGGCCAAACAATCAGCAGTAACAGGATTTCTGAGGCCAAAATCCTCTTTTCACTTAGTCGCGTTCAATGTCTGCACGCTCTATCAGATTGGCCTACAAGCTGCCCTAATTAGAACCCTCGGCACTTTCAATGTAGATGTATGTTGTGTCTCCGAAACACGCATACAAGACCCCATTTCCATTATCTCTCTGCGTTCCCCTGAACCAACCTCAACCTCACGCTTCACCCTTCGTGTGTCAGGCGATTCGGCTTCGGAAGCTCGCGGTGTTGCTGGTGTCGGAATTTCGCTAAATGCCAAAGCTGAGCGCTCGCTTCTTGACTGGATTCCAGTGAGTAGCCGATTGTGCGCTGTACGTCTCATCGGTTCAGTTCGAGTCAACAGCTACAGAATGAAGCGTCGATGCTTATTCGNAGAGTCGATGCTTATTCACCGTATCGGTCTATGCACCGACCGACTACAGTATACCTGAAATTAGGGAAGAATTCTACAAGGATCTTTCTGAACTACTCCTAAGTGCTCGATCAACGGACGTTGTAATAGTCGCCGGGGACTTCACTGCTCGAGTGGGATCCATGGACGAACCAGAAAGGCTTCTTGGCGGACCGCATGCAATCCCAACCAACCGGACGGACAACGGAGATCGCTTACTTCAACTCTGCACGGACCACGGATTGTTCCTGTCAAACACGAACCTCTCCCACAAGAAACGCCATCGACTTACATGGAAACCGCCAACCTCTTCA